AAAAAAAAAAAAAAAAAGAAGTTAGATTTTTAAAAATTTTTCCTTCTTTTTTGAGACAGGGTCTTACTATTCTGCCAAACTGGCTTCAAACTCCTGGGCTCTCAAGTGATCTCTTGACTTGGTCTTCTCAATGCTGGGACTATACACGCGCGCCACCATCCTTGGCCTACCTGACAGTTTTTCTTCCTGGGACTAATTGATTTCAGGGGTGCTAAACAATGTCTCTAGCCAATTATTATTGTTTTTTTTTAAATTTTCATTTTAACTAGTACATGTTTGGAGTATATAATGATTATATTTATCATGGGGAGTTGGTTCATGTATATAACACACCTTTTCATGTCCCCTTTTTCCTTTTTTCATAGTGAGACAGGATCTCACTATATTACTCAGGGAGCTCTGGATTACAGTTACATTCCACCATGCCTGGCTAATGGTCTTGTTTTAAAAAGAAAGGTAGAAATGTACCTTTTTTCCTTTCTGATCTTATCCCTTCTCCCAAGGTATTGTGCAGTGGACTGGCTCTAGGGCAGATAAAAATCAAGGAAAGCAAGGGAAATGAAGGAGCTGTTGTAGTATTAGATGGGCATCCACACTGAGAGGCTTACCAGGGAAAGTTAAAAGAGTTAGGGTCTCCCATGTATATGTGTTGAGTTTTTAAACTTTTAGTTAATTCTTTTAAAAATTTAGGTTTATGTCTGGGAAAGAAATAAAGAAGAAGAAGCATTTGTTTGGGTTGCGAATTCGTGTTCCTCCTGTGCCACCAAATGTGGCTTTCAAAGCAGAGAAAGAACCTGAAGGAACATCCCATGAATTTAAAATTAAAGGCAGAAAGGCATCCAAACCTATATGTGATCCAAGGTAAAAGTTGATCTGTGCCTTAGTTTTTCTCTTTAGCTTATTTGTAACTAAAAATGCATGTTGTTGAGTCTCAGTGTATTTGAAAGTATAAGTGGCAGTTACCTTAATTTTTTTTTGCCCTGTCCATAATTTCTTTTTTAAAGTATGAAAAATATTGTTTTAAATACTGATCTGTTCATTTGCTTGTTCATTTACTTTTCATTCATTCATTCATTCCACACATTTATCAAATTCCTCATTATCTAAGAGGGGATACATTGACAAGAGAGCTTTTCTTCTCTCATGGGATTATAGTGGGGAGATTTACAGTCTAGCGGGGAAGACAGGTGGTAAGTAAGTAAAATAGTTACTGATCATGCTAATGCTATTTAGGAACTAGCATGCTATTTTATTTAAACTTAAGCAGGATTGATAGAGATGAGAACTTTGTAGTTTAAAAGGGAGGCTTAAGGAAGGATTATTTAAGATAATATTTGAGACTTGAATGAGAATAACCTGTGAAGAATAACGGGAAAAACGTATCACAGGTTGCAGAAATAATAAGCACAAAGGCCATGACGGATATTCTAGAAATTCACAGAAGAGGGGCTCGATCATATAGGCTCTTGTAGGTCTTGTAGGGGACTTTGGTTTTTTTTTTTTTTTTAAGAATGATGCCTATTTAAGGCCTGTAAGCAGGTTTAATTATCTTAGAATTATTTGGATTCTCTGAGTAGAATGGGTGGTGTAGAGATAAGAATGGAAGACAAGAGAAAAATAAAGATTTGCTTTTTTCTCTAGGTGAGAAGTGGTTGCTTGTGCAAGGCTAGATGGTAACAGCAGAATGGAGAGAATATATTTGTGATGTAGGCAGTTAGATGTGTGAGTCAGGAGCTCATAGAAGAGGAGAGGTTGGGAAAATGGTATAAATTTGGAAACTGATTTATAAAACCATAAGAATGAATGAAATTATTTGGAGAAAAAGTAGAAAGAAAAGAGTGTGGCTCAGAATAGTGTCCTGATACCATTTGTAAATTTGGAAGCTAAGCATGGTGGTATATGCCTGTAATCCCAGCACTTAGGAGGCTGAAATAGGAGGATCACCACAAATTTGAAGGCAGCCTGATAGTGATTTAAAGGCCAGCCTAAACTACATAGTGAGACCCTGTCACAAAGTCAGGGGAAGGAACCCTAAATTTGGAAGCGGTGAAATAAAGGAGCCTGGATGAGTGATATAGGAGGAAACCATATTAGTGTCGTGAACACCATAGAGTTCTTCAAGAAAGATGTGTGTACTAAACTGTTCAAGGATGCTGGTGAGAGGTAGATTAAGAGGAGAGAGAAATGTTTACTTTGGATACTTTTTTTATTAGTGACTTTGATAAAAAGCAGCATTTTGCAGTAAAGATACAAGCCAGATTTGGGTAGATCAAATGTTACTCAGTCAGGCTCTTCTCAATTTACATGTCGAAACTGGGCTTTACCTACATGTGAGGGATAGGCAGATTCAAAATAATAATAATAATGATAGAGGAGGAAAAACTATTTTCAAGGGTTCTGAAATACATTGGAGAAAGCAGGAGGTGTAAAGGGTGAATGTTGTTGAAACTCAGGGGTTACTATGAAGGAAAGCACACATAGAGGGGCAGGTGAAGAGGATGAGAGCAGTGAGTGGTGGGTTTTTAATTAGATAGGAGATACTTATGTGCCAGTAGAAGTAATCCAGTGGAAAAGATGAGACTGGCGTAGGAGAGCATGGAACTAATCAAAGACTACAGTATCTTCGAGAAATGAAAGAAGGGGCCTAGGGCAGTGATGGTGAATCTTTCAGAGCCACTGATCTAGGGCTGGAGATACAGCTCAGCGGCACAAGTGCCTGCCTGGGAAGTGCAAGGTCCTGAGTTCAATTCCCAGTGTAAAAAAAAAAAAAAGTCCTGCTCAGAGCCATTGATCTAGAGCTTTAATGCGAGAGTGGCTTTTGATAGGAGGAGAAATACCTATCTGTTGAAATGAAGTGGAAAAGTGGAGAAGATAGGGCTGGGGATGTAGCTCAGCAGCACAGCTCCTGCCTGGCAAGTGTGACGCCCTGGGTTTGATTCCTGGTACTAAAAAAAAGAGAGATGCTGGTTGTATTATAGATTGGGAAGTAGGAAGGTGACTGAAGTTGTCTGGTAGTTTCTAATTTCTCCATAGACTATTAGGTAAAAGCTCAGATGGTTGTATAATGACAGAAATTTAAAGAATAAATAAAAGATGAGGAATAGAAAAATCATCTTGGAGAGTAGAAAAATGTAATTGCAAAGCATTGGCTGTATCATAGCTATTTAAAGTTTGTAATAAACTAGATACTACTACTTTAAGCCTTTTTTATTGAAAAAGATGTTTATTATTCCTATTATATTATTCAGATTCTATCACTCTAATGCTTTGCTAATAGTTGATGAGTTAGTAAAAAAGAAAAAGAAAAGAAAAAGCTAGGTGTGGTGGCACACACCTGTAATTCCAGCACTTGGGAGCCTGAGACAAGAGGATTGCTGTGAGTTTGAGGCCAGCCTGGTTTACATAGTGGGTTCAAGGCCAGTCTGAACCATGTAACAAGACTGTGTCTAACCACTCCCCAAACTCTACAGAATTTTCTTTTTGTTATGATGCTTTTGTAATTTTTTAATTTTTTGTCTTTTTGAGACAGAGTCTTACTATGCAGTTTAGGCTGGCCTTGAGCTCACTTTGTTCTGCAGGGTCCTGAATTTGCAACAATCCTGCCTCATCCTCCCGAGCTGGGATTATAGGCATGTGCTACCATGCCTGCTTTTATTGTCATGATGCTTTTGACAGGATGCTTCATCTTTTGAAGCTGTCAGTTTATCTGATATCACCCAGTAGGAGTTCAACTTTTTAATTTTATTTTTATATTTATTTATTTGTTTGTGGTTTTTTTTGTTTT